CAGTGATGTGTGTGCAGTGATGTGTGTGCAGTGATGTGTGTGCAGTGATGATGTGTGTGCAGTGATGATGTGTGTGTAGTGATGGTGTGTGTCAGTGATGGTGTGTAGTTATGTGTGTGCAATGATGTGTGTGCAATGATGTGTGTGCAGTGATGTGTGTGCAGTGATGTGTGTGCAGTGATGATGTGTGGGCAGTGATATGTGTACAGTGATGATGTGTGTGCAATGATGTGTGTGCAGTGATGATGTGTGTGCAGTGATGATGTGTGGGCAGTGATGATGTGTGTGCAGTGATGATGTGTGTGCAGTGATGATGTATGGGCAGTGATGTGTGTGCAGTGATGATGTGTGTGCAGTGATGATGTATGGGCAGTGATGGTGTGGGCAGTGATATGTGTGCAGTGATGTATGTGCAGTGATGTGTGGGCAGTGATGATGTGTGGGCAGTGATGATGTGTGTGCAGTGATGATGTGTGGGCAGTGATGTGTGGGCAGTGATGATGTGTGGGCAGTGATGATGTGTGGGGAGTGATGTGTGTGCAGTGATGATGTGTGGGCAGTGATGGTGTGGGCAGTGATATGTGTGCAGTGATGTGTGCGCAGTGATGTGTGTGCAGTGATGATGTGTGTGCAGTGATGATGTATGGGCAGTGATGGTGTGGGCAGTGATGTGTGTGCAGTGTTGATATGTGCAGTGATAATGTATGCAGTGATGGTGTGAATAGTGCTGATGTGTGTGCAGTGATGATATTTCTTGGGGTCAGAGAGCCAGGGTGAGAGGCAGCTGCTGTGTGAGGGAATACACAGCTTCTGAAACAGGAGGGTATCTCATGCCACTGTTTTCAGGTTAAGGGTGCATAGCTTCAGGTGAGATATTTTGTTCTCCCAGGAATCACTCAACTGTAAGGCCTCTGACATCACACAACTGTAAGGGTGACCAGAGATAATCTCTGTGCAAAGTCTAGGTCCCACTCTGCTAGGAAGTCTCGGGGCTCTGCCTGTGTTATCTCAGAGGGGTCACTCTGCAAGCTGTGGCACAGAGATATCTGTAATCCACACAATAGGGAACTGCACTTCCTCCACTGGGACATGGTAAAGCTGAAGTGAAGAAAACACAATAATCTGATTGGAGCCTGCCAGATCAAACACTCCCTGTTTCCCTCAATGTCCACACAAGAAATATTCAATTTCTCTCTTACTCCATTCATGTAAGCAATCCACAGACATCATCCAGCAAACAGTTCCAAGACCAGAAAAACATATTGGAACCTGATTTTTCTGGGGTGCAATTTCAGTTATCCCAAAACAAATGTGATTTTATTTGTTCCCATAGGAAGAGATGGGGGAGACTTGAGACCAACCTTTTGAATAGGCTCCTTCCATGAATTATTTGGTCGTGAGGCTCAGAACACCAGAGTTGCAGTTCTTCTAAGGAAACAAAAGACATTGAAAAAGAAGGATTAGAACAGTTTTCACCAGTTTCTGACTTACAATAGAAGCGCATGAAAAGAACTGATAATTTTCCACTGGGTTCATGGTGCTCTTCCAGAGACATCTAAGAGGGTAAAATTCCTAGCAGCCTTCTGCTGGGAGCACCTGCCCTCATCTAACATCCCAACGTCACTTCCTTTCCTACCACTGAAACCAGCGTCCACCCACCTGCTCTCTCATCACATTTAATTTGCAAATGTATGTTTGCTTAAAGTCCACTTTGGCAAAGCAAAAGAGCCAGTACTCATCTCACTGGGGCCATGACAACTAAAGAGCACAGCTACTTTCAGATGAGATCAGGGTAGCAGATGAAGGGATGTTAAGAGGCATCGGAAGATTTAAGAGGACAGACAAGGCCTCAGCAGAGACTCTACAGCCATTGTAAAGGAGGTAGTACTGAGCACTAGCCTTAGTCGGCAGGATGCAGGATGACAAGAAGTGATGGAGACAAGGCTGGCGGGTAGGGAATATTAGTACAGCTGTGGCTGCTGGCGGGTTGTCTTGGTGTGGACAGTGGAAGATGTGTGAAAACCTTCTGATTACAGATTGTCATGATACAGTTTGGATCTTAACTGCCCCTCCCCCAGGCCCATGTTCTTTAAAAAAAAAAAAAGGCTTAGCCTCAATCCTGCTGTGTGTTACTGGGAAGCGATGGAACCTCTAAACAGTCACTGGGGCCATGACCTTGAGGGGATGATAGGACCATAGCCTGTTCTTTCTGTCTTCCTCTTCCTGTTCACAAAATGAGCACAGGTCTAATACTAATGAGATTACAGTTGTGATGCAAAATAAAAAAAACTTATCATAAGAACTTCATCATCTCATATCTTTTTATAGTGCTAGAAAGATGACTAATACAGAAGTTGGAAATGAGGAACTCCTTTGATGGAGTATGAGTGGCCTATGGTGTTTGAGCATACACTAGGAGAAGAGCAAGATCTGTTAGTAGATCTGAGAACAGGAAGAAAGAGAGAAGGAAGATTTGTTGTAGGAGAAAAAAGCCACATTATCCTTAGGTACATGTCTTCCTTCTGGCTCCAGAGCGCCAAGGAATTTAGTAGGAGGTGCCTGGTGAGTTCTGATAGTTGAGAGGGCTGTTTCTGATGGGGATGTGTGGTGTATGGTTGGGGACATAAGACAGAGAAGAATTACTGTGTGTCATTAGAGCCTAAGACAGAAGGAAGAGAACTTCCAGGCCTCAATTTCTAAGAGAGAAAAACATGCTTCTTAAAAGACAGCATGTTCGACTAACCAAAAATTAAGAGATTTTGAACATAAAACAATTAAAAGGGATAACAAGAAAACACAAAATACTTTAAAATAAATGGCTGAAATGGTAGTTTTGATCAGAATTAAAATTGTATTTTAATACAACTATAAATTCTTATTTTTTGAGAACATATAAGAACCAGGTTATTTCAAGGAAATCTGTGAAAATTTAGTCTCAACACAGGTTTAGTATTCCTAATCCAAAACTCTGAAATTTGAAATGCCTCAAAATCTAAAACTTTTTGAGTGCCAACAACATTACTCATAAGTCAAAAAGCTCACATCTGATCTTGTATGTCATGTAATGATCAAAAACGGAGGTGCGCTGAAAACATTTCACACACTTTCCTCAAGATATATGTATAAGATGTGTATGAGACAAGGGGATTCTATGCCAAGATGGGGTGGGTCCCTTTCTTAAGATATCTTATTATGTAGATGCAAATATTCCAAAATCTGAAGAGAACCAAGATCTGAAACTCTTCTGGCCTCAAGCATTGTAGATAAGAGACCTGCATTTCTTTGAAAAATAAAATGTACTGGTTGGATATAGGGACCTAGGAACACTGAATTTCTATAGTACTCTAGTGGATCTGGAAACATGTTTCAAGCCCTTACCCATCCATCAAAAGAGTGGTAAAGCTCTGCCAAGACTTCAACACTTCCCTGGCCCTCCTCAGTGTACTTAACGACAAAATCAGGATGGTAGTAATGCCAGGGTTATGATGTCAGCGTGAGGGTTACACGTGTTCATTTTTGTAAAGCAGATTCAGTGCCATGTGAGTATAACTTTAATAACTAGATGTATGCATGGGCATTTGAAAAATGAGAGTAATTGAGTACACTATGCTAATGTCCTAGGGGGAAGTCTGTTCCCATCACCTTAGTCTTTGTGTTCCCACTCTCTCATCTGTCCTTTTGGGACAGAATCTAAATTTCGAAATCATATGTATCCTAAATGTTCCCACCTGGGTCTTCTCAGCCCAAAGCCAGACTCTTCTACATCTTGTGTCACTTTTAACCATAAAGAAAATTATTTTCTTGTAATATCTATTTGCATCGGGTATCACACAGCTGGGTGGCATAGCACAAAGGTGATTTTGTAGTTGTGGTCTCATGGTTTAAAATATTTCTAAGGATTTTTTAGCTTGTATAGTGTCATTAATTCCTTGCTGTGGTTTCTATATTGTCCTGACATGTCAATGTGTATTTAGACTCTTGGTTAAAAATACATTGGTGGAAAATGGGCTCAAAATAGATTGGCTGCCCTAATAAGCAGTTTATGCAGTCTGGGTGAGGTACTGGCTAGGTAATAAGTCTATTTTTATTTGGCATCAGTACCAATTATCAAGGAAAGGTATATTCAGACACAAATAAAACTCAGTACTGATGCTGAATTTAGATGTAGATTTAATTTCAATAAGATGTGGCTGTGGAAAAAGTGAGAACCTGACACATAGCCACTCCAAGGTCTGCTGGTCTGAGAGAAGTTCCTTTCCAAACCTCAGGGAGTGTGGACAATGAGGAGAGAGCAGGAGGAAATGGAAGTCGAGAGAGAGAGAGAGAGAGAGAGAGAGAGAGAGAGAGAGAGAGAGAG